GGTCGGCTGTGAAGGTTGCAAATGGTGATCATGAGATGATGTGTTGGTGTTAATGAAGGCTGATGGCCAAGCACCCAAATTGTGATCCCATGTCTGTGGTGACAATGCAACAGCCACAATGTAAGGACTGGGGTGAAGTCTCCTTATTCAGAGCATGGAAGTTTGAACTGTTGGCTGAATGCCAAGTCAGAGAGCAGGGGCTGCCTGCAGCAGAGGGGAAACTGATGAAAGGGGAATAACAAACTGGAACATCTTGTCTTAGTAAACCAGTGAAGAGTTGCTTTGAGCAACACAAAACTGTTTTTCCGTGCTCTTAAAACAAGGTTAGTACTTGACTCTGTCCAAAATATTAATACCATAGTAGAATGTTTCTATGGCATCTACTGTGAATTTAAGGTGTTCTTCCTGGCCGTATTGGGATGGATCAAGACAACATGGAGATTGGATAAAAAAATTATCACCTAACACTAGAAGGAAAAGTATATGTCACCCTTTAAAAGTGAGTTTTGTTGTTTTGGATGAAGTGCACAGAGGAGGACTTTTAAACATATGAAGAACGGCTGCAGGACTTGGGTTTGGCTAGTCTAAAGAAAAGAAGAAACAGGGGAGACATGATAGCAGTATTCAGGTATCTGAGGGGCTGCCACAAAGGCAGAGGGGGTCAAATTATTCTCCCAAGCACCAGAGGGAAGGACAAGAAACAATGGTTGGAAACTGATCAAAGAGAGAAGCAACCTGGAATTAAGGAGAAAGTTCCTGACAGTGAGGACAATTAACCAGTGAAACAGCTTGCCTCCAGAAATCGTGGAGATTTTTAAGAAGAGACTTGACAACCACCTGTCTGAGATGTTATAGGTTCTCCTGCTTGGGCAGGGGGCTGGACTAGAAGACCCCCAAGGTCCCATTTTATTCTATTCCATTCCATTCCATACAGTAGAGTCAACACTTCTGCAGAATTTTCCAGTTTCCCCCCCTGCCCCCTGCTTTATTATTATGAGTATGAAATCTAAAGTTAACCCTATTGAATTAATGCTGGTCTATTGTTAATTGTTTAGTTCAGCACACTAAACTTACTTAAGAGGGCTTCCACCGAACATCGACGTTGATGCGAGACCGTTTTGGTAGCCGAAGGTCGGGAGGGCGGCTGAGCGGCGCCTTCAGAGCTTCGGCCCCGTTTCTCATTTCTCTATTGTACGTTATATATACAATATATTGCAAATGCAACTCTCGGCACTGAACAAAACGTCCTTCGGGAACCTGGGCGAGCAAAGCCCGACCACTCCCTGTCGGCCTGCCCTCCGCTGGCCTCCCGCGCCCGGGAGAGGAGAGCGACCCGACCCGGCCCGGCCTGGCCCTTCCGCCCCAGGCCACCCTCATCGCAAAGCGGGACAGCCGACGGCGGAGGGTCGCACTTGAGCCGCCCCTTCTCCTTCCCCTCCGCGGACGCCCGGCGCCCCCTGCACGGCCACGGGCGGCCCGGCTGCCGCGGCCAGGGCAGGCAGCGCCTCCTCCACGCTGGCTCCGCTCCTCGGGGACGCTGACTCGGGGAGGTCGAGGGGCGCCGCGCGCAGCCGAGCCTCGCCCATAGCGGGCTGTCTCCGGCCCGGCCTGAGAGGCGAGAGCCCGGCCCTGCCCGGCCCGCCGCGCCCTCTCGCGCAGAAGCGCTCAACCGACGCCGGGACTTACGGTGCCCCAGGAGGCAGAGCAGACGCAGCCCCGCCGCCGCGCTCCGCCACCAGCCCATCGACGCCGCCGCGCCCGGGACGCGCCGACCGTCCCTCCTCGCCGCTGGCGCCAGCAGCCGCCCCGCCGGCCGCGGCTTCCCAGGAATGACGCCAGGCGGCCCCGCTCCTCTTCCGCGGAATGGCAGGGCGGGCTCGGCTGGCCGCCACGCGGGCGGGGGCGGCGTCTGCCGGGCCGAGCCCTTTTGCGGAAGCCGTGGGAAGGGAGGCCGGGCCCCGCAGCCCTAGCTGGGCGACGCCTTCGCGCGCTCTGCCCGGCGCCTCTGCGCTGGGGCGCGTCGGGAGGACCGAGGCCGCCCCCGGCCGGCGCGCATCCCTTCTCCCGCGCACTCCGCCTGCCATTCGGTGGCTGCGGACCGCGCTGGACCGGAGCGCCCACGAGGAGCCTACTTGGGCCGCCCCGGACTGCCCGGCGTTCCCCAGCCGAGCTCAGGTCGGCGAGGAGCCGCCCTCGGTTGCCTTCCCCTTCGGCATAACGCGGAGCAGCCGAGTCCGGGGCTGGAAAGCCCCTCGGGGGCCCGGGTCACTTGGGACCCCAAGCTGGGTTGCCGGCTGGCGGGTCTTTGGGTGAGCCCCTCGTTGCAGGCGGGCCCGGAGCCGCTTCTAGGGCGCCTGGGCTGCTCTGGCCCTCCGCTTGACGAAAACCCAGCCAGGTAGCCACTTTCGCAGGGTGAATTCAGAGGCCATAAAAGAGCAGGCAGTCTCCTCAGAGGCGTTGCTGTTGTTCCTCTCGTGCAACTAAGCTGCTCAACGATATCTGCACCGCAGAGGGGAGTAAAGGCACCCTAAATTCCAAGGCAGGAAACTGCCTTCATCCTGAGCAGAGGATGCCGACCCCAGCCGAGGCTTCTCCCTTGGGAACTGATGGTGAAATCACAGCTGCCTATGTAGGTCATTTTAATTTCAGGTTTAATTATTTCATGTAATAATAATAATAAAATAATAATAAATAATAATAATGTAATAAGTTATCTGTGATTATTTGGATACACTTAAACAGTAAAGACAAAGGTTTCACCTGTCCAGTCGTGTCCAACTCTAGTTTCTTAGCTGAGGGAACCAGCATTGTCCGAAGTCTTCTTCGCAGTTGTGTGGCCAGCATGACTATATGCTGAGGGGCACAGAATGCTGTTACTTATTCACCAAAGTGGTACCTATTTACTCACATTTGCATGCTTTCGAACTGCTACATAGGCAGGGGGTGGGGCAAGTAACAGGAGCTCACCCCATCATGCAACCCTTGGGTCTCCAAACCAGGCTATCAGCTTTCCAGCTGACAAGCTCAGCATCTTTAATTGTTGAGCCATCACACCCCTTTGATGTACTTAAAAGTGGTCTAAAGGCCACCAGTATTGCATAAATGATTATGGTCCATCACAGTCAGCCATATGTTCTATATGCTATACACAACAATATGAAGACACAGCTGCCATTTTTTTAGCTGGTGTTGCCTTCATATGCACTGTGTTCTTCCCAAGAACCCACAATATTTTAACCTGTTCATTTTTTACCACTTTTTCAATGTTATTTTCCTAACAATTTTTTTATTAGTGGCACATCATAATTTTGGCAACTGGGTAGTGTTGTTTATAATCAGTTAGTGTGATCTTGCATGAGCTGAGTATATGATGTTTCTTTTGCTTCTTTGCATAATGCACACTTTGAATCCTTTGACGATTTTTCAAGTTTGTGTTTGTGTATATGCTTAGAGAGACAGCATTTTTTGCCATAACCACAATATCAAGCTGGATTGAAGCGGATTTAAGGCACCAGGCTAAAAACCAAGAGGCCCTGAGTTCTAGTCCCATGTTAGGCACAAAGCCTGCTGAGTCACTTGAGGCCAGTCACTTTCACTCAGCCCTAGGAAGGATGCAAGGGCTAATCGCTTCCAAAATGTTTGACCAGAAAACTGCAGAGCAGTCCAGGCAGTCACCAGAACAAATAGTGATTTACAGACACAAAACAACCCCAAAACAAACACATGGCAGCCTGGATTAAAAAACAACTAGAGCCATCAACAACACACAACATGGGCTTCACTAGCAGACTCGGCTCATACTTTGGAAGGTCTTTGAGGCCTTCGAGGACCCCCATGCCTGTCTCAGGGGGACGGTGTTCCAGAGGGCAGGGTTGCTTCCTTGATCTAGAAGATGGCAACATGAAGGCCAGTTTGGAGAGTTGGTGAAGGAGGGGGTGAGTTCTAGTCCTGCTTTAGGTATGAAGGTTGGCTGGGGGGCATTGAGCCAATCCCTCTCAGCCCAATCATCACAGGATGATTGTTGGAGAGAAAATAGAAAGGAGTACTAAGTAGGTATAACCAAGTGCATAAGTGCAGAATAGGAAGTGCCTGGCTCAAGAGCAGCAACTGTGGAATTAGGTGTCCTGCCTAGTGGATCACCCCATATCTATGAGCCTGCCAAAAAAGCCAATGTAGTCCTGGGCTGCATCAACAGAGGGATAGAATCAAGATCACGTGAAGGGTTAATACCACTTTACAATGCCTTGATAAGGCCACACTTGGAACACTGCATCCAGTTTTGGTCACCACGATAGAAAAAAGATGTTCAGACTCATGCAGAAAGAGCCACAAAGATGACTAGGGGCCTGGATGCTAAATTGTATGATGAAGGGTTGCAGGGACTGGGTATGTCTAGTCTATTGAAGGATAAATGGGATCACAGTGGGAAGGCATAAGGCTCTTGCCTTGAGCAGAGGGTTGGACTGGAAGACCTCTGAGGTCCCCTTCAGCCCTAGGGTTCTATATTAATGTGAACATTAATATTAATGTTCACCGCCTTGAATTGTATATAAAAAGGGCTAGATAAAAATACAATTGCAGTGCGGGCAGGGAGGCCCTTACGGGTGCTCCCCCAGCAGCCCAGCACGGGGCACGGCCGGAGGGGACCCCGCTGCCGAGATGGCTCCCGCGCTTTCGAGGCCGCCGCTTCCAGACGCCTCCCGGAGCTGCCCTTTCCTTCGCCCCCTCCAACGCTTCCTCGAGTCGGGCTGCTTCCTGCCCAGCTCGGGTTGGCTCTCCTTTCCGTGCCAGCGGGGGAGCCTCCCCGGGCGAGCCGTCGGAGCATCCGCGCCCAGAGAGGCGACGCGCCCCTCCGCCCGCCGGCTCGGCGCAGGCCAGAAAGGCAAGGCCGGCGCCCGCAGGGCTCGGCCCCCCGCCAGAGGGCGCTCTGGAGACGGGAGGAGGCGCGCCTCCGAGCTGCTGTGCCCGGAAAGCGCGCGGAAGCCCCGCCCCCGCCCGCCATGGCCGCCGCGCACAACGACGCGCACCGGCGCTTCCTGCAGGCGCTGCTGGCCCGCGGCGTGGTGGAGGCGGCCGAGGCGGAGCGGCTGCGCCGGCTGTGCTGCCAGCGGCACCAGGGTCAGTGGGGGGGGGGCTTTGTCCGGGGGGGGCTCGCGGCTCCCTGGCCAGGGCCGCCTCCCCGCCGGGCGCGCAGACACCGGCGGAGCTGCCCGGCCGGCGCTGGGGGGTCGCCTCGGCCCACGCCAGGCCTCTCCCCCGGGCTGCCGCCGCCCGCTCTCGAGGCAGGGGGGGGTCTCGGGGGCGGCTGCGTGACGCGCTTCCCGCTTGTGCCCCCTGCCAGCCCCGCGCGCGACCGATCCGCTGGACGACTTCATCGGCGGGCTGAACGTGCAGCTGCAGCCCTTGTCCATGGAGATCCGGAAGGGCTCCGCGGAAGACAGCGGGAAAGCCTACTTCGCCCTGGTAAGGGGGCGCCCTTGCCCCGCTCGGGCAGCAGCAGAAGTCGGGGGTGGTGGTGGATGAGGGGCTTTGAAGCCTCCCCGCCTGCCCAGTGATTGCGGCCCTTCAACCGAGGAGGGGCTTGCCAGGGAAGGCGGGGGCCCCGTGCCAGAGGCGGCGCTTGCCTGAGCTGAGCCCCCCCCCCGCCAGCAGCCCATTCATTCCACCGGGCCTTCTCCTTTGAATCCCAGGTGAATCTGGCGGAAACCGAGATTACCAAACTGGCAAGTGACTTCTCTGAAAACGAGCTCGAGCTGTTCAAAAAGACAGTAAGTATGGTACTTTAACGAATGCCACGACTGCTGCTGTGGCTGATCAAGAGAAGCCCAGAGATGTTTGCAGCAAAACCAGGGAGGAAATGAGCCAATTCTGCTGACTGCCGGCAGTTTGATCCTGACAGGCTCAAGGTTGACTTCCATCCTTCTGAGGTCGGTAAAACGGGGGCCCAGAGTGTTGGGGGCAACAGGCTGATTCTGTAAACCGCCTAGAGTGGGCTGTAAATCACTGTGAAGCGGTATATAAGTGCTATTGTTGTTGCAGAGCGTTCTTCTGGGGCAGAGACACTTGCTGGTTGTGGCAGTCTGTCCGGAGAATTGATGCAAGGGGAAGTGCCTCTTCCCAACTCTGGGCAAAATAGCCTCCAGAGCTTGGTTGACATGCAACAGAGAAAGATAACGCAACCATGATTTTTGTCATGTTCTTGTGAGGACTCCCGTCCTGCTCCATCTGCCTTGTGAAGGCGGTCAGCATAGATTGCCTGGAGGCCGTACGGGTCTGGATGGGGAGGAACAGACTCAGGCTCAACCCTTCCAAGACCGAGTGGCTGTGGTTGCCAGCGCCTCGGCATAGTCAGCTGACACCATCGCTGACTATAGGGGGCGAAACTTTGGCCCCCTCGGAGAGGGCGCGCAACTTGGGAGTCCTCCTGGATTCGCGGCTGGCACTGGATGA